GGCTTTCCAGCTGTGCCGCGGTGAGCGCGGGCTCCCCAGAGGTGGGGCGAGGCTGGGGTCCACCTGTGCGCCTATTCCTCCAAGGAAGGGCCCTGTGACGCAAGGGTGGGGTCTGGGAGCCTCCTTCCCAGGGCTGGGTTTTGCACGCCTCCAAAGTTGGTTTGTACATCTCCCCTTATGTGACGGGCCTTGCGCGCCCCTCTCATCCCGTCTGGACCTTTTGCGGGGCCCATTTCCCTCGCCGCGAGTAGGTTCTGGCTTCCGGATGGACCTTGTGCAACCCCTCCTCCCGCGCAGCGTTCTGCCGCCTTCCTCCTGCGCCCTCTCTGGGGACAGCTCAGCTAGTGAGCGCCCCCCGGGGGCACTCCTGCGACCCGTCCCTTGCTAGGGCTCTCCTACAGCCCGTGGTCGGGGGGAAGAATGACGGATTGAAAGAGCGAGGTTCGGAGGAGGGGCGCTCCGCAGCAGCGGAGTCCCGGAGTCCCTTCGCACGGCTCCGGGCATCCTTAGCCTCAGCCGTACCGCGGGAGCCCCACTCCAACTGTCCAGGGAGGGGGGCTCTAGCGGTGAGGGACGGATGGACAGTGTGGTCCATGCCTCGACCCAGCTGACTCAGGTTCCGACCCTGTCGCTGCAGACGCCGTGGCTGGGGAGGCAGCAGTCCAAGCGCGTGCGCCCGAGCCCTGGGTCCCGCCAAGCTCAGCCCCGAGGGAGCCATCGTCGCCCCTGGTAAGCGCTTCCTTCCAGTGACCGCGGGCAGTGGGGCCTTCATCCCCAGGGAAAGAAGGAGCCCGGGCCGGGGGCAAGGTGGGCGCTTACCCCAGGACCCCACTCTCTGTCTTGCAGCCTAAGTTCGAGGCCCAGGCGCCCCCATCAGCGCTGCCTGCGCCCCGGACCGAGGCAGAGATCAGACCCAAGATTCCCGGGAGTCGGGAGGCTGCAGAGAAGGACGAAGAGGAGCCTGGCGAGGCCACCGGAGAGGCCGTCGGGGAGGACCGTGCGCCCCTCGCAGACCGGGGACCCAAGGAGAGGCCTCGGAGAGAGGGGAAACCGCGGAAGGAGAAGCCGCGGAAGGAGGAGAGGCCGAAGAAAGAGAGGCCGCGGAAGGAGGAGAGGCCACGGGCCGCCAGGGAGCCCCGGGAAGCCCTGCCTCGGCGCTGGGAGTCACGCGAAGGGGGCCATCGGCCGTGGGCACGGGACTCCAGGGACGCCGAGCCCAGGAAGAGGCAGGCCTGGGTCTCCCCGAGGCGTCCCTACGAGGAGGAGCGGCCTGGGAGTCGCCAGAAGCTCCGCGCAGGCAAGGGGCGGGACTAAGCCGGCCCGCGCCCGAGTCCAGGGACCCCTTCTAGACAACCCGCGACTCCGGCGAAATAAAGCGAGGGCTGCGGCCGCAGAGTCATCTGCTTCTTTACGCCTGGACCCGGCAACGAGTCCGGGGCCTGAAAGACCGTCGCGGGGCGCTTCAGGCAGGGGAAAGACAGCGAGCGCTACAGGGTGGACCCAGGCCGTGCGCAAGGAGAGACGGGCGGCCCCTCTAACACGCACGGACACCCCACTCGGTTGCTTGCTGGTCTTTATTGGGGCGATACTTGGGGTCCGAATAAATATGGGAAGGGGCGCGAGCTGGGGCACGTCCGGCCCCTCGGGGCAGGAGTCCGCGAGGCGCAGGGGTCACCGGCAGCCACACTCGGTGGCCACCATGTTGGGCACGTGGTGCGCGCTGATGCGCTCCTCCGACAGGCTGATGAGCAGCTTGCCCGCGTAGGCAGTGGGCACGCAGCAGGGGGGGCGCGCCAGGGCGGCCCCACGGGCCTGCATCTTCAGCAGCAGCACCACGTGGTTGCCGTAGCGCGGGTTGCGGTCGGACTGCGGCCAGCCGCACACGCCCTGGCAATTGTTGGCCTGGTAGGTCTCCGGGATGAGTACGGAGCGCTCGGCGCGGAGGTCTACGCTGAGCTCGCGCAGCGCGCACGGCCCGTCGGCGGCGGTGGCCCCTGCGCTGCGCTGTGCCCGCCCCGGCCCGCGTGGATCCCGCCCGCGCCACTCCGCGCGCAGGCCCTGCAGCGCTTTCAGAAGCAGCAGAGCTCGCAAGGGATCGCCGGGGCCGCCGGGGCCGCCTGGGCAGAGCGCGAGCAGGCGTGCCAGCAGCGGGGCTGCTGCTGGAGGCAGACCTGGGAGGCTGCTCAGCTCGGCAGCCGCCGCTTGCAGCTCGGCAGCCACGCGGTGCGCCAGGGCAGTCGCCCACGGCGCCGACGTGGGGTCGTGCAGGGGCGCAGGGTCCCCGGTGGTGGCCGCGGTGGGCCGCAGCAGCAACAGCGGGTCCTCGCCGTCTAGCAGGCGCTCCAGCGCCGCGGGGTCCGACAGGTTGACCAGGCCCTGCGGGAAGCCGGCCAGCGCGTCCGGGTCCAGGGCCAGGCGGGGCGCGGAGGCCCGGGCCCGGGGGCCCCGCAATGTCCGCACCAGGCGCGTGAGCGTCTCCAGGAAGGGGTCTGCACTGGGCGGCGACTCCTCGAGCTCCGCGGATGGCCTGGAACCCGCAGTTAGGGGAGTTGAGAGCGGGCGCGAGGCCACGCCGCCCCCGCCTGCTCCTGCCCCATGCCCCCGGGCCTGCACGCACCTGGGCGGCGGGAAGGGCACGGTGTCCAGCTGGCCTTGCGCGGGCAGCGGCGCGGGCTCAGACCGCGGCAGCAGGAGCAAGGCCGGGGTCATCCGCGTGAAGCAGCGGTGGTCGTCGCCGAACAGCAGTGCCTGCAGCTGGGCCGTACTCAGGAGGGAGCCTGCGGTGGGTGGGCGCGGGGTTGGCTCAGGGGCTGGGGGCTGAGGGCAGTCGACCCGGCGCCCGGTCCCTCTCCACGCACACCTACCCTCTCCGCGGGGCTGCAGGGTCAAGGCCAGCCCGGAGCCGCGCCAGGCCCCCGCAGGGCGGTCCACCGCCAACGCCAGGTAGCGAGTGTCCCGGGACGGGCAGAGGCTCTGTGGAGACCAGGGCTCAGCCCGGCTGGATGGAGGCTTAGCCAGCCCTGCTCTACCGGTGCCCTTCCTCCCATTGCCACTGGTTCTACGCTTCTCTCAGTACCGCAGACCCTGCAACAAATCCATGCCCCTGCCGCGGCCCAGGCAATGCCCCATGCAACTCCCTGGTACCTGGGCACCCGGCAGCCCAGCCCTCGTCACAGTGACCTCAGGGCCAGGCCCAGGCCCAGGGTACAGCACCAGCAGCGCCAGCTCCGGGGGGTCGGCTACTCCATGCGGGGGCTCCTGGAACCTCAGCGAAGGTGTGGGCTCCCAGGTCACTGCAGCCAGGACAGCAGGGGACGCCTGAGCCATTGAAGGCCAGGCCCGTCCCACACTCCCCTGGGAGTCTTTGGGATCCGTCCCTGCTGCTCTGGCCACTGTGCAGGGGGCCTTGAGCGGGGGACCTAGTGTCCCTCTTCACTGCCTTCCTGCAGCCAGGGAGCGGTGACCGCCCGGGCAGGCAGAGGCTGCGTCTGAGGCTGTGGGTGGGGCTGCCGCCCTGGGGTCTCTGGGTTAGGGCGCCCGATGAAGCCCCTTCCCCGCAGGGAGTCTCTCAGGCCAGTGGCCCCGAGAACAGGCTGGCCAGGTGTGGGGCGGTGGGGAGGAGGGTTCCACTGGCCCCGAGCCACAGGGTGGTTTCTTCACGGGTGGCGAGAAGACAGCAGCTCTCTCCCTGCCGCTGTGGCAGGGGCTGGTCTAAGAGCTGGGCTTCAGGGACAGGACAGAGCGCGGTGCCCACCTTCCAGGCCATGGACCCACAACCCAGTCCCAGAACAAGACCACAGCCTCCCTGCCCAGGGTGTGGGCTCTGCCAGCCCTTGATCTTCCCTAAGAGGACCTGGCCCACCTGAAGGAGGCCGGCGGTGCCAAGCTCGGGGCTGGGCCCCACGTACCTTCCTCCAGGTGCAGGACCACCAGGCGCTGCCCCCCAGGGTCCCGCAGCCAGGCCCCCAGCCGCTGTAGAGAGGGCAAGGCAGCCTGCCTGTCACCGGGGGTGCACACCCCAAAGGTGGCCAGGTCTCGGGGGCCCCAGTGGGCCCGCTGCACGGCCCCCAGGAAGGCCCGCTCATAGGCGCTCAGAACTCCCATGACCTGCAGGGGGGTGCCGCTGCCATTGTTGTCCCCACCCAGTGCCACCAGGCACAGAGGCTCTTGTGGGCTGCCTGGCGGCCAGTCCAGGTCTTCTCGGAAGATGAGGCCACTGGTGCCCACAGCTGGTTCTTCTGCTCTGAGGGCCTCAGTCCCCAGCAGAGCCCCCAGGGCGGACAGTACCAGGGTCAGGCTGGTGAGAGGCAGGTCCCGCGTCATGGGTGCTGCCAGGAGCTGGGCTGCCCGCCTTGTGGAAGCCGAGTGGAAGGTAGGGTGTTTGTAAAGGACAGGCCCCTATCTCCTCTGCCGCGACCTTGGGGGACAGTGCCCGGCGCCCCCACTCCAGGCAGAGTGGCCTTCTCAAAGAGCCCTTTCTGTCGCCAGCAGCCTATCTCCCTCCCCACAGCGATAGAGCTGGGCCTGATTTGTCAACATGCTGTCCTTGAGGGCCCGTCCCCAGAAGGCACAGGAGTGGGAACCAGGCTGGGAGTGATGGCCAAGCAGCCAGACTAGACAGCGCTGGGGGCGGGGGGCCCAGATGTCCTGGGTGCTAAGGGGTGGGCCTGGAGGAGGAGGGTCCCAAGTCAGTGGGGGCGCCCTGTCCCTGCTCACCTTCCCAACCCCTGGTGGGCTATCTGGAGACCCCAAGGATATCATAAGAGTCTGCTCTTCCCTCCCCAGGACAGGACCCCAGACCCCCTCCTAGCTGGCTGGTGGAGTCTGTCCTCCACCAGGCCACCTCCAAGGTACAGCTGTCTCTCAGGCCTCCCACAGGTGTCTCCCGGCAGGCCCCAGGCCCTCCCCAGTCGGCGCAAACTCAGGGATGGTGCTGTGCCTGGCACTCCCACACAGCACTGACAAGGGAGGGCGGCGCTGCAGACATCAGTGCACTCGGGGCTGGGGAAGGCTGTTTAATGAGCAGGGGGCGGTACAAAAGAGCAGCCTTCTCTCGATGGCAAAAGGCAGGAGCACCTGGCGCTGAGCTTGCTGGTGGAGGGAGCAGCTTCTCAGTTGGTTGGGGGAGGGGGAGGTATGTTCCCTGGGCCTTCGGAGGGGAGTGGGGGCCTCAGCATTGGGGGCATGGGAGTTGGGGGGTGTACCCCAGGATTTGAGGGGTGAACTCCAGGAGGCTGAGGGTGGACCCCAGGAGCTGATGGATGGACCCCGGGAGGTTGGGGGTGGACTCCCGGGGCCTGAGGGTGCATCCCTGGGGCTGGTGGGTGCACCCCCGGGGCCTGAGGGTGAACAGCAGGGGCTGCTGGGTGTACCCCTGGGGCCTGGGGGTGAACCCCCGCTGATGGGGGAGGATGGACCCCCGGGGCTGGTGGGTGGACTCCAGGGGCTGGTGGGTGAACCCCGGGGGCTGGAGGGTGAACCCCGGGGGCTGGAGGGTGGACTCCGGGAGCCGGGGGGTGGACCCCAGAGGTTGGTGGGTGGACCCCAGGGGCTGGGGGATGGACACCAGGAGCTGGGGGATGGACCCCAGGAGCTGGGGGATGGACGCCAGGAGCTGGGGGATGGACGCCAGAGGTGGGGGGATGCACCACTGGGGCCGGGGGGTGGACCCCTGGAGCTGGCGGGGGTAGCTGGGGTGGTCCCGGGGGCCCTGAGGGTGCAGGCCCCGTGGGGGGCATGGGTGGCAGAGGTAGGCCTCCCGGCGGTGGCGGTGGCAAAGACTCGGGCAGCGGTGGCCGAGGGGGCAGACCATTCATCAGCGGAGGTGGAGGCCGCTTCACCCCAGGGGGGCCGGCGGGGAGGCTGGGCGGAGCCGGGGGCTTCTCCATCTTAAAGTGGAACTGGAGGAAGAACTAGAGAGACGGAGAAAGGTTCAGCAGGCACGGGCAGGGCTAGGGCCACCGGGGCTGGGCAGGAAGGAGCCAAGCTCAGGGCTAGCCACTCACCTGCTTGGTCTCCCGGTTCCAGTGTGTCCAGAACTTGCCCTCCGCCTTGTCAATCTCTCTGCTCGGCACCTGGGAAGGCGGGGGACAGAGAGGGCTCCTGGTCCCTGTGACCTCAGGGTAGCCATCAGGCAGGGAGCCTGAGGCGTTAGCCTCCCCGGCCCGGACTCCACCCTGGGAGCCCAAGAGAAGGCCCCGGCCTGGTAAGACTTTCGATGGGCACAGGGTTCAGTTCTGGAGTGACACAGACCCGGCCTCCACGCTAGCACACGCTGGCCCCCGCCCTGGACAGGCACCGTTTGTATTGTTTCCTGATGGCTGCTTTGTCCAGGCGTAGGCACAGGCTGTGGGAAGCCCTCCAGCAGCCTAGACCAAGCAGCGAGGTCACTTGGCGAAGGCCTCACAGGCCCAGCGCTCAGCCCTGCCGGCCTCCCTTCTCCATGGGCACAGTGGAGCCCAAGCAGGCCCCCTCCTGCAAAGCCCAATGGGAGGGGTACCCTGCCCAGCCTGCACAGACCCTTCTGGCTCCGTCTCGGGGATCCCAGGGGACCCCACAGCCTGATAGGAGGGGCGCCCTGCCCAGCCTGTGCAGATCCTTCTGGCTCGCACATCTCAGGGGGCCCTGGGGCCCAGGGGACCCCGCAGCCATGCTACCTTGAAGGCGATGGTCTCATAGGGCTCAGCGGCCATGAGCAGGTACTGCCAGCGCCGGTCCGGAGGCTCAATCCTCTGCTCGTACGCAGACATGAAGCGGTGGCGTGGCATGATGCCCTCGGCGATCTCAGGGTAGTCGATCTGTGGGGACACAGCCGGGTGGCAGCGCCACCTTTCAGGTGCCTTCGGCCGCCCCCCACACCCAAGCCCCTGATCTCACCTGGAAGAGGAGGCTCTGCTGGCCCATCTCCGAGTCCCTCTGCTTGGTCACTGCAACACAGAAAGCTCTCAGGTCCCGGCTGCTTGTCCTCCCCAAAGCTGAGGGACCTGGGGCAGGCTAATGCCACCCACTGAACGAGGGCGAGACCCCAGGGGAGGCCCTGTGGCTCCAGGCAACCGCCAATCCGCCCAGGCTCTGGGACTCTGGTATAGGTGAAGGCACAGGTGCGCCAGGGCTGAGCTACCTGCGGAGTCACTCGGGCAGGGACCGAGGGTGGTACTCCTTTGTCCTAATCCCCAGAGCCCTTCACCCAGGGTGCTGGGACACTATCCAGCAGGAGTCGGGGCCACTGGGTAGGCAGCGGCCCATGGCACCCTGGCTCTGGGATTAGAGTGGGGCCGCCTGAACAGGGCCAACACCATCTATAGGGTGAGCGGGAGAGGATGCCTTTCCCACCAGAGCTCAGCAGCCTGGACCCCGAGAATGGCTGCTGGGCCGCCTACGGCCTGGCCACTCTCCAAGCAGCCTCAGACACGCACACTCACAAGCCCTCCACCTCCTCACTGCCCTGAGCCCAAGCTCAGGACCTGTCAGGGCCTCCCCACCAGGAGTCTGCCGCTCTAGCCACCCTCGTCCACCCAGCACACCTGCCCCGGGGCCTGTGCCCTGCAGGCTCCTGTCTGGAGGCCAGGCACACAGGCTGTCCCCATCTTCCGTAAAGAACATTTGCTGGGGCCGGGCGCGGTGGCTCATGCCTGTAATCCCAACACTGTGGGAGGCCGAGACGGGTGGATCACGAGGTCAGGAGATCGAGATCATCCTGACTAACATGGTGAAACGCCGTCTCTACTAAAAATACAAAAATTAACCGGGCGAGGTGGCGGGCGCCTGTAGTCCCAGCTACTCGGGAGGCTGAGGCAGGAGAATGGTGTGAACCCGGGAGGTGGAGCTTGCAGTGAGTGGAGATCACGCCACTGCACTCCAGCCTGGGCAACAGAGCGAGACTCTGTCTCAAAAAAAAAAAAAAAAAAAACTTGCTGGGTAGCGTGCCCGCCTTCCTGACCCTACAGACACAAGGTCTGTCTCTTCCACCCTGGCCGCTTCCCTGGCTTTCTGAACCAGGTCACCTCCTGCCATTCCCACTGCTGAGGGTCCCGGAGGAGCCGCCTCTAACAGCCGCTTCTTCCTGTCCTCCTTCAGAGGCTTCAAGGTTAACCGGAGGAGTGTGCCAGGGCTCACCACACCTCCACTTCCACTCTTTGGCTTGGCAAGACTCCCCAGAAGCTTCCACAACACTCGGACAGGAGGGCACAGACTGTGGCTCAGCTGGGAAAGGGGCCGCTGGGTGAGACGGGTGCTTATCGGGCTCAGCCTGACAGCTCCCAGACACAACGCCAGAGGCTGCAGGTGGGTGAGGGATGGCCACCAAGGCCAGAAAACAGCGGCTCAGGAATGAGGGTCTCAGGGCTGCGCCTCCTGCACTGGAGCCCAAAGAACCTATTCATGCAGCAGCAGCGGCTGTGGCCAGCGCCGCTCCGGGCACTCACCTTTGTAGCCTGGGCGGCCGATCTTCACAAACTTCTTCACCTCCACCTTGACCTTCTCAGGTGCGGGCTGGGCAGGGGCCTCCTTGGCCTCCTTGGCGGCTCGCCGGGCCCTGCAGGCAGGATGGACGTGGTGCTGGGGCCCCTCCACACACAGGCACCAAGGCCACGGGCCCCCTGACCTTGGAGCTCACTATAAACTGAGGGATGAGGAGGGCCAGGGGCCTGGGAGGGGCCCTGGGGTTTGGCTGAGAACAGGGATAGGACAGGCACGTTCTCTTCCTGTCATGCTCCTCACTGTCCCTGGCTGGGGTCCTACCAACAACTCCATGCCTCTGCTTTTTTTTTTTTTTTGAGACCGAGTTTTGCTCTTGTGGCCCAGGCTGGAGTGCAGTGGCGCGATCTTGGCTCACCGCAACCTCCGCCTCCCAGGTTCAAGCGATTCTCCTGCCTCAGCCTCCCCAGTAGCTGAGATTACAGGCATGCACCACCAAGCCCGACTAATTTTTTGTATTTTTAGTAGAGATGGGGTTTCTCCATGTTGGTCAGGCTGGTCTTGCCCTCCTGACCTCAGGTGATCTGCCCACCTTGGTCTCCCAAAGTGCTGGGATTATAGGCGTGAGCCACTGCGCTCGGCCTTTCTTCTTTTTTTTTTTTTTAAATAAGACTGAGTCTCGCTCTGTCGCCCAGGCTGGAGTGCAGTGGCGCCATCTCGGTTCATTGCAACCTCTTCCTCCCAGATTCAAGATTCTCCTGCCTCAGCCTCCATAGTAGCTGTGATTACAGGTGTGCATCACCATGCCCAGCCTAATTTTTAGATTTTTAGTAAAGATGGAGTTTCTTTTTTTCTTTTTTTTTTTTTGAGATGGAGTCTCGCTCTGTCGCCCAGGCTGGAGTGCAGTGGCGTGATCTTGGCTCACTGCAAGCTCCGCCTCCCGGGTTCACGCCATTCTCCTGCCTCAGCCTCCCAAGTAGCTGGGACTACAGGCGCCCGCCACCACGCCCGGCTAGTTTTTTGTATTTTTTAGTAGAGACGGGGTTTCACCGTGTTAGCCAGGATGGTCTCGATCTCCTGACCTCGTGATCCGCCCGTCTCGGCCTCCCAAAGTGCTGGGATTACAGGCTTGAGCCACCGCGCCCGGCACAAGATGGAGTTTCACAATGTTGGTCAGGCTGGTCTCGAACTCTTGACCTCAAGTGATCTGCCCGCCTCAGCCATCCACGCCTCTGTTCTCTAATGCTCCCCAGAAACCGTACTCCAGCGCCCAGGGAGGCCCAGGCCAGGCTGGCTTCCCGGCCGTGGAGCAGTGGCCCGTGAGGCTCACAGAGACTTGAGCCGACAGCTGCTGGAGCACCAGGAATCGAAGGGGCACGGGGTACTCACAGGTTGGTCTGGTGCTTCTTCCCCTGGGTATGTGCCAGGTAGCTCCCCTGGAGTGGAAAGGAAACACACATGACTCGGGCCGGGCAGACAGACACAGGCAGGTCCCCCTGACGTCAGCCACTCAGCCCGCTGCGAGCTGCCCGGAGCCGGGCAGAGGCCGCACCTCATTGTTGTGAAGCGTCAGGCACAGCTTGCATTCATAGGAGCCCAGGTGGTTCTTCATGAAGTACGGGTCCTGGAGGGGAAGAACAGGCGCCCGTTAGACAGATCGAGGCCTGCTGCGGTCAGGGCCCTCAGACGCAGGATCCCCTTTCTGTACAGGCATGGCTGTCCCTGACGGTGTCAAGCGTTTCTGAAAACGGGGGATCCGGCGGGAGGCCTTTGTGAGCACAGGTGTCACCGCCTGGGGCTGTGGCCCAGGCTCTGAGCAGCGGGGGTTCCCGGGGAGCCCCCCGCACCAGCTTCCTGGTGGTTCTGAGTCAGAGGGAGGCAGAGTCAGCACAGCACTCCTGGTCACTCCCAATGCAGGGAGCTGTCCGCTGCCCACGCCACCACACCAGTGGTCGGCACAAGGCAGACACAGGCACAAGAAAAGCAAATGGGCTACACTGAAGGCCCAGAGACCCGCCCATCTCCAGGCCCTAAGCCGGGGCAGCCAGGCGCACGCCTCTCGTCTCAGACGCTGGAGTTCAAAGGCTAACTCCACCATCTGTGGCTGGGGCACCCCTCCACCCGTGACGTCATCTGGAAGACAGGGACAGTGACAGAGCCCTCGTCATAGGCCAGGTCCGTGGGGCGTGTCAGGGTACACAGAGAGTGCTCCAGTCCCGATGTCCACAGTGCTGAGGGGACCCGGCTCATCCCCGCCCCTGCACAAGCCAAAATCAAAGGCTGCCCTTCACCACATCTGGCTGGACTGACATAAGCTCTCCCCACTCCCAGAAAATTAAATGATGCGAAACAGAAGGTTTTGGACAGAACAAAACACTCTCACACGGGGCTCAGAGCCACAGAGGGTCTGCTCTCTAAGGCGGACAGATGGGAGCTGTAGCTGCTCGGGGCAACAGGGGAGCATCTGGACACGGGGCTGCACCGCCCAGGCTGGGTGGAGGCCCAGGAAGAGCCTCTGGCACCCTCTCCAGGGCTGTCCTGGAAAGCCGAGCCCCCGCCACAGGCGGCTGCACGGTGGCTGGCCCACCTTGTTGATGTCGATGGTCTCTAGGGCCAGCTGCCGGAGGCGCTCCCTGCGGTCACGGTTGCTCTCGGAGGAGGAGGCCACGCCCCCGCTCCCGGTCTTGCCCCCAGGGCGATGCTGGAAGTCCATGGTGACGGCCTTGGGGCTTCAGCAGACGGGGAGACACCTGTGGAGGCCAAGAGGAGAGAAAGAAGGATGGCTCAGAACTCACGGCTGCTGCTGGGACCTCCCTGGGCCAGGCCACCAGGCTGGAGCCTGTGATAGCCCCTCACCCTGCACTCCCAGAGCCAGGGTCTAACCAGCCCTGAGGGGGCCACCCCAAAGTGCACCCAGTCTCTTCCAGGAGGCCGAGGCCCACTGTGGACAGGCACAGACACGAGGAAGCTGGAGCCTGTCTCCAAATGAGCGTATGTGAGGGATGGAGAGGAAGCCACTCCAGCCCAGAGTGCCAAGGCCTGGAGACCTGAAATGGAGCGGGGAGCCCAGAGAAGGCATAAAGGGAAGACAAGGCCAAATTCTCACAAACGAGTCACCACCACCAGGGAGCCTTCCCGGACTGCCTAAGCCCCCAGTGTTCAAGCCTTCCTCTGAACTCCCTCTCTGGTTGGCTGCGCTTACTTGTCCCCAGCCTAATTCTATCTCTTGGGTTCGCTGTAAATTTATTGGGAGGTGAGGACACTGATCTTTGTGTCCTGACTGGGTAACATCCGGGAGATCGGTCACATCTGCTTGTGGCGCAGGAGGGCTCTGCTGAGTCCCCAACAGGCAGCCTCCTCTCATCTCCTGGCACTCTTCCCCTTGAGTCACGGAGGCTGTGCTGTGGCTGTGAACGGGGAGGAAGGGGCCCCAAGGCGAGGGACACGGGTGCCTCTGGACTCTGGGAAAGGCAGGAAACGAGTTCTCCCCCAGAGCCTCCAGAAGGAATGGAGCCCTGTGGACTGGACTCTGACCCCAGAACCAGAAGCTGATACAGCCGTGTCATCTGAACGACTGCATCTGCAGTGATGTGCCACGGTGGCGGCAGGTGTGCAGGGGCACGCTGAGGGACAGGGGGGGGGGGGGGGGGGGGGGGGGGGGGGGGGGGGGGGGGGGGGGGGGGGGGGCACGCTGAGGGACAGGCCACGGTGGCCGCAGGTGTGCAGGGGCACACTGAGGGACAGGCGAGCTGTGCTGCTGACTTGCGGTGGGGCCTGAAGTCACCCCTTAATCTATGGGGGCCCAGGATCCCTCCCCACCCAGTTTTTATTCCCTGGGCAAGTTGATGAAAATGATCCAGCGTGGTGACTGGTGAGGCGGACCTCCCGGCTCACTGCAGCATCACAGATGCCCCATCACAAGTTCAGACATCATAAAAGCCCACCCAGAGATGCCCATTTTTACGTGTTGTCACGTAAACTTCGAGAAACCACCACCGTGACCATCGCCATCCCTTCACAAAACAAAGAACATTCCATTGTGTAAAAGGAGACTGTGACAGCAGAAGGACTGTCCTTTGCTGGGAACACCACCCTCTGGCCCCAAGGAACCCTCCCTGCCTCCGGCTTCTTGACCACGCATTCTTCAGGACCAGGGAGAACTGCATCCTCTCCGTGCTGGCGCCATCAGCCGCAGGCCACGCCAACTCCCACCGTCCCTGCTGCCAGCTTACAACTGCCTGGGAGGCTCTGTCTCCGGACGGCGCACAGGCGGGCGGGATTGTGTGGGGGCCGCCCGAAAGGTTCATGAAGTGCCTAATTTTTCTCTGGAGGACATTCAAGCATTTCCTGGTCAAACGACATGAAACTCACATCAGGGGATGTGCGTGGGGAGCCCAGCGAGCAGCCTCCCACCAGGCCGCGGCTGCACTTGCCTCTCCACGCCTCACAGAAACCACAGTCCTCCACGCACCTCAGCACCGAACCAAGCCCTCGCTGGGGGGAACATGCAAGAAGGCAGGGAATCGGCCTTCTTTCACGGATGCACCCCAAGAACCCGGGGGGGCCTGGTGCTGGGAGGCACTCCCACACACAGATCTCGGGGAGTCATCAGCGCTCCCCTCTCCCAGGAGGACGGCCTGTTCCTTTCATCATGAAAGAATTCAGCAGCATGCAAACGCCCTGCTTGTTCCCGGTCGTGGCCCCTCCCGGACCATGCCCCCACTCTGAGGCTAAGCTCTGCAGAGCCATCACTGGTCTCTACTCCCAAGCCTGCACTCTCCGCAGCGCCCGCCCATGTGTCCTCACGGCCAGCAGCGTCTGGCGGAGAGAAGAGCAGACGGTCTGTGGAGGACCCAGGGCCCGGGAGGAGCGGGGCTCAGTCTCAGGAGTGACCTGCACTTCGCTCCTCCACGCAGGAAGGGGCAGCGCAGCTTCTGGGCCAGGACAGGTGCAGGTGGCCACACCAAGAGCCACCAACCTATCCTGATGTACTTACTTCCCATCACATTTTAGTGACATTTCCAGAATGCTCTAACGACCCAATGGCTGGGAGGACCTGGAAAAGGAACTTAGATGGCAAAATGCTAACAAAGCCAAGAGTTCAAATCCATCTAGGGCGAGCCTAGTTACTTCTCAAACTGGCCAGACAGAACACCCCAGCGGCCAGTGGCTGGCTCAGGACACAAGCTCCAGCTGTCACAGGGAGCTGTCACCTGTGGAGTCTGGCCCACAGAAACCTAAACCCAGACCAATACTCAACCACTCACCAAGTAAAACTCTGATCCAAAACCCAGAAGCCATCTGAACCCAAGCCTAGCCACCACAGCCACTGAACACCCGCACCGTCCCTCCCCAGCAGCTGAAACGTGGCGGCACCCTGGGGAAGCTCCCACGCTCTGATCCCCCACGACCCTCGACTAGATCAGAACTTTATTTCCAGCAGAACTGGCATAAAAGGACCTCTGGAGTTAGAGACACAGGCCCAGCAGAGCAAGGGGGCCCAGCGTTAGGCTGAAAAGAGGGGACCGAATCACGACCTGCCGACTGGGCAGCGGGAAGTCCTGCGGTTCCTCGGCACAGCTCAGGCGGCAGGCGGCCCAGCACAGATGCCCCCCCGCCCAGGGGGAGGCCAGGAGTCTTTTCTGGGGAAACAGCACAAGAGGAAGAATCCTCAAATACGAACATTCGGGGTCCCCACACCTCAAAGAAAAGCCCCGCTCCTCGCCAGACCACTGGGCAGTTGGCCTCCCGGATGAGAAGTGGCGCTCACACAGAGCTGCCGGCCGCTTTGTTCTTAAAGAGAAACACACGCATCTGAGAACAAAGAGACTGATGGGAATTCCAATAAGAGATTGCTGCCTCCCTCCTTCGTTATTGGGGGAAACCGCTGCACCACAAAACCAGAACGGGACGCTGAATGACACCAAGTTGAATTAAAACAAAAAGCCCTTGAACAATACAGACGGGATGATCCAAACAAAAGATTCCATACCAGAGTGGGAAGCTGAGCCAAACAAATCTTTCATAAAGGAAAGCCAAGAGTCGAAAAAACAGGAGGAAAAGCAAGAACCCAGACGGCATTCCAGAATGAGAACAGAAAAAGTACCCAACAAAATAAAACATGAAAAATATGATCACAGAAATAACGTAAGAACAAGAAAATTCAAACAAAAACAAAACCCAGGACTAAAAGGAACCAAACTGTCCAGATACCAAGGACTCACCAAGATCAGAAAATAAAAAGACCCCAGGGCACGGGGAGACCAGGGAATTTCACACCGCACACCACCCAGGAAAATGTGCAGCTTCCACTAGACAAAGAAAACTCAGCAGACAAGATCAGAAACCAGCACAGGAACTGATCTTCCGAGAACGGCACTGAAAACAACGCTTTCACGGTTCTGAGCAAACACAGATGTTTTTTTCTCTCTTTTCCTTTTTTTTTTTTTTCTGAGATGGATTCCTGCTCTGTCGCCCAGACCGTAGCTCGATCTTGGCTCACTGCACACTCCACCTCCCAGGTTCAAGCGATTCTCCTGCCTCAGCCTCCTGAGTAGCTGAGCTTACAGGCGCCTGCCAACACGCCGGGCTAATTTTTATACTTTTAATAGAGATGGGGTTTCGCCGGGTTGGCCAGGCTGGTCTCAAACTCCCAAACTCAGGTGATCCACCCGCCTCCGCCTCCCAAAGTGCTGGGATTACAGGTGTGAGACACCGCACCCGGCCTACAAATATGGATTTTCTTTTTTTTTGTTGTTGTTGAGACTGAGTCTCCCTGTGTCGCCCAGACTGGAGTGCAGTGGCCGGATCTCAGCTCACTGCAAGCTCCGCCTCCCGGGTTCACGCCATTCTCCTGCCTCAGCCTCCCGAGTAGCTGGGACTACAGGCGTCCGCCACCTCGCCCGGCTAGTTTTTGTATTTTTTAGTAGAGACGGGGTTTCACCGTGTTAGCCAGGATGGTCTCGATCTCCTGACCTCGTGATCCGCCCGTCTCGGCCTCCCAAAGTGCTGGGATTACAGGCTTGAGCCACCGCGCCCGGCCAAATATGGATTTTCAATCTAGATTTTTATACCCCACCAAACTTCTAACTATGAGGGTAAATAAACTCATTTTCAGGCAATCAAAGACTTCCCCCATCCCCAAAAAAAATCATCTATTTCTTCCAAAGCTCCCAGAAGTTCTGCTCTGACATCAGGAAGAGGAAAAGATGGCCACACTGGGAACAGAGGTCAGCACAGGGCAGCAAGGACAGGAAGGTTTGGGACACCAGCTCCACCCAGGCAGAGCACAATCAGTCCCATTCGGAGAAGGAGGATACAGGGGTCTTGGAGGGCAGTGGGGAGGGGGAGATCAATTCATTTAAACCTGTGCAAAACACAACTGATAGGTGTGAGATGCTGGAGCTTTGTGGGGAAATAAACAAACAGTAGGGAAAAGAAAGGCTAATGGTAAAAACAAAGTTAATTAGCTTTAAGGGAAAATAGAATGCTACAACAAAAGCCCAGTTGAACACATTACTTGTTTTAGCAGCCAACTAAATATATATACATATACATGTGTATATGTGTGTGTGTATATATATATATACACATATATACATTTTTTTTTTTTTTTTTTTTTTGAGACGGAGTCTCGCTCTGTCGCCCAGGCTGGAGTGCAGTGGCGCGATCTCGGCTCACTGCAAGCTCCGCCTCCCGGGTTCATGCCATTCTCCTGCCTCAGCCTCCCAAGTAGCTGGGACTACAGGCGCCCACAACTGCGCCCGGCTAATTTTTTGTATTTTTAGTAGAGACGGGGTTTCACCGTGGTCTCGATCTCCTGACCTTGTGATCCGCCCGCCTCGGCCTCCCAAAGTGCTGGGATTACAGGCGTGAGCCACCGCGCCCGGCCATATACATATATTTTTTTGAGATGGAATCTCGCTGTGTCTCCCAAGCTGGAGTGCAGTGGCGTGATCTCAGCTCACTGCAAGCTCCGCCTCCCGGGTTCACGCCATTCTCCTGCCTCAGCCTCCCGAGTAGCTGGGACTACAGGTGCCCGCCACCACACCTGGCTGAATTTTTGTATTTTTAGTAGAGACGGGGTTTCACCATGTTAGCCAGGGTGGTCTCAATCTCCTGACCTCGTGATCCACCTGCCTTGGCCTCCCAAAGTGCTGGGATTATAGGGGTGAGCCACTGCGCCCGGCCCTGAGCAGCCAACAACATTTTGCATCTTATTTAAAAAATACAACCAATGACCAACTGTGCTCACGACAGAAACTCATTCAGGATATGGAAGGCGAAGGTGCAGTGGGTGGATAGGAGGGAGAAAATCTCAACAGCCGTGACAGGAAATCAGCAGATGATGTCTACAAATTGATAAATCCAGGAAGAAGTATGTTATTTACTAAGGTAAAGATCAGGGAACAGAGTGGAAAAACCCCATCTCTACAAAAAAATAGAAAAAAGAGCCGGGTGTAGTGGCTAATGCCTGTAATCCTACCACTTTGGGAGGCTGTGGGGGGGTGGGGGGGGGTGGATCACCTGAGGTCAAGAGTTCGAGACCAGCCTGGGCAACATGGCCAAACTCCGTCTCTACAAAAAATACAAAAATTAGCCGGGCATGGTGGTGAGCACCTGTGGTCCCAGCGACTTGGGAGGTTGAGGCAGGAGGACGGCTTGAGCATGGGAGTTCGAGGCTGCAGTAAGCTGTGATGGCACCACTGCACTCACTCCAGCCTGGGTGACAGAGCAAGACACTGTCTCAAAACAAACAAACAGAGAGACAAAAAACCGACGACGACGACCAGGGGAAATGAGCTTAAGAATTGAGGAAAGGTGGCCTCCGAGACCTGGGGCTGGACCAGCGGGAAGGAATTAGTTTTTGGTGGCAACACCGTTCTCTCGTTAAACCCAGCAAACAACCTCTTTTCCAAAGCTCCCCCTGGCTGTTTGGTGTTCTCCAAGGATACACACGAACAACGGTCACAGCCATGTGCACCTGCAAAATGGGGCCAGCTAACGTTTTCTGGTCCCCTTTGGCATGGTGTTGAAGCTGTCACTCCCGTTTTAAGGGGAATGAGGCTTACAAGAGTTATATCACAGAGCCCCAGTGAACTCACAGGTATAGATTAGCATGCAGAAGCGTTCTCGGCTACAAGGAAGGAGGCCCAAACCATTTCAGCCGCGATCCCGATCTGATCCCAAAGAGTCTTAGTTGTTTCTTTTTCATTTTGTGAAACAGGGTCTTGCTCTGTTGCCCAGGCTGGAGTGCAATTGCGATCATGGCTCACTGCAGCCTCGACATTCCGGGATCAAGCGATCCTCTCGAGTAGCTGGGGCTACAGGTACAACAACCACTCCTGGCTAATTTTTAAAATTTTTTTGTAGAGATGGGGTCTCGCTGTGTTGTCCAGCCTGGTCTCGAACTCCTGGCCTCAAGCGATCCTCCCGCCAAGCCCTCCCTGAGCGGTGAGATTACAGGCGTGAGCCCCCGCGCGCGGCCTCCCAACAGGAGTTTGGAAATAGAGTTCCGAGCGGGCCCGACCCTCCGGGCCCGCCCAGCGCGGGATCTACAGGATGCACAAGGCCGGACGCTCACGGGAGGAGGGAGGGGAGCGACGCCGCCGCCCGCCCCTCGGCCTGCGGCCTGTCGCAAGCTCCTCTCTCCTACGTCCGCTCTTCCCCAGGGAACCCCCGGTCCGAGTCGGCCGCCACCCTCAACCGGCTCCACTCCTCACCAGAGCCTGAGGCCGCGTTATCTCCTCGATCCGCCACCGCCACGACTTCGTTCGGCGCACGCGCGTCGCGGTCAAAGAAAGCACTTCCGGGGCAAATGGGGCGGGCCCTCTGGTGTGCGCATGCCCGGCCCGCCCAGCGGCGCAAGTCAGAGAGTCAGGAGGCGCGAGGGAAAGGGCTGGAGGGGGCGGGGCTGAACGCCCGGCCTGGAAGGCAAACCGCGCGTGCGCACAACGCCCCCAACGAACCCTTGGTCCGCTGCGGCCGCGCTGGGCTAACTTTCGCGAGGGGCGGCTGACATTCTTCGGGAGACGTTATCGCTCCCTCCGCCTGCGCCTGGCCGCTCTAGGAAGGGGTGCCAGCCATCGCGGGGGTGCCTTGATGCTGTTCCACCTTTGTCTGGTTTATTTCAATTTAATGGTTATGTAACGACTGTCCGTCTCCGCTACCAACTCGTGCACCGCCCCCCCCCCCCCCGCCCCAGGTCGCCCGCGCCACGCACTGGAGACTGGCGGCATGGCCGGCCCAAAGTGCGCAGGCGCACTAGCCCCGGCGGTGCTTCCGTGTCTGCGCCCTGAGACCTTTTTGGCGCCGGCCCCGGCGTGAACGGGGACGGCGGCCGGGAGGGCGCGGTCCAGGTTCCCGTTCCCCGCGAAGCCATGCGGTACAACGAGAAGGAGCTGCAGGCGCTGTCCCGGCAGCCGGCCGAGATGGCGGCCGAGCTGGGCATGAGGGGCCCCAAGAAGGGCAGCGGTGAGCGGGACCCGGGAGACCGGGACAGTGCCAGGGGCGGGAGGCTGGGGCCGCGGTCCGGGCGCGGGTGCCGGAGGCCGGATTCCGGGTCGGGGCGCCGGGTGCGGGAGGCCGGGGTCCGGGCGGGGGCTGCCTGCGCCTCTGAGCGCGCGCTGTGCCCGCAGTGCTGAAGCGGCGGCTGGTGAAGCTGGTGGTGAATTTCCTCTTCTACTTCCGGACAGACGAGGCAGAGGTAGGGGCGTCGAGGGCGCGCGGGCGGGTCCCAGGCTGGGGCCCCGCGGAGGCCGGGTGCTCACCGCTCCGTCCCGGCGCCCGTGTCTCCTCCAGCCCGTCGGAGCCCTGCTTCTGGAGCGGTGCAGAGTCATCCGGGAAGAGCCCGGCGCCTTCTCCATCAGTGAGTGGGGCTAGGGAAGCCAGCGGCGCCTCCCGCAGCCCGGGGCACCAGCAGCGCTGCAACTGTCCCCTCCCCAGGCGCTCAAGGCCTCCTCTGTGTCCCCAGCCTGGCGCCACCCTCCCCAGACATAAGAATGCATTGTCCACGGGCAGCTCAAGGTCAGGTTCTCCTGGCGGGTACCATCCCGCCCACCTGCCAAGTCCACTTAAGCTTGGGTTCCTTCCAGATTCTGCTCTTTCTTCCCTGTGGGCCCAGGCTGTACTCACAGAGAGGCTGGGCCAGCCCCACCCAAAGCGTTTCCCAACTGCCACAACTAGCATGGGTCTAGCATTAGGTGGGGGTAGGGGGAGTGAGAGGGGGGTGTTCTCCTGGGTCTTAAGAGATTCCCTTCTGCGGGGAAAGATGGAGTCCCTGCTGGTTTGCCAGAGTGGCTGTCAAAATTTCACAGGTCGGGTGGCTTAGATATCAGAAACATTCTATACAGTTCTGGAGGCCAGAAGTCCTAGATGAAGGTGTTGGTGGGGCTGGGTCCTTCTGAGGCCGAAGGGAATCTCCCAGTTCCTAGTGGCGGCCAGCATCCTCCAGGTTCCTTGGTTTGTGGAAGTGTCACCTTGTCCCTGCATCACGTCTGTGCCCACATTTCCCCTTCTACACAGACGCCAAGCAGAATTTAGGGCCCACCCTGACAACCGCTTTTTACTTTATTATTTATTTATTTTTTGAGACAGGGTCTTGCTCTCTCGCCCAGGCTGGAGTGCAGTGGCGTGATCTAGGCTCACTGCAACTTCCCCCTTCAGGGTTCAAGCGATTCTCCTGCCCCAGCCTCCCAAGTAGCTGGGATTACAGGCGTGCGCCACCATGCTCAGCTAATTTTTGTATTTTTAGTAGAGACGGCGTTTTGCCATATTGGCCAGGCCGGTCTCGAACTCCTGACGACAGGTGATCCTCCTGCCTTGGACTCCCAAAGTGCTGGGATTACAGGCTCCAGCCACTGTACCCGGCCCTCTTTTTTTTTTTTTTTATTTTTGAGACAGAATCTTTTGTTTCCCAGGCTGGAGTGCAGTAGCGTGATCACAGCTCACTGCAGCTTCAACCCCCTTGGCTCAAGTGATCCTCCCACTTCTGACTTTGGAGTAGCTGGGCCTACAAGGCCCCACCACCACACCCAGCTAATTTTTGTTTTTGTAGAGATGGGGATTTTGCTATGTCACCCAGGCTGCTCTCGAACTCCTGAGCTCAAGCAATCCTCCCACCTCGGCCTCTCAAAGTGCTGGGATTACAGGCGTGAGCCAGTGTGTCCGGCCACAACCTCATTTTAACTAGTTTATTTGCCAAGACCCTATTTCCATACAGGGCCACACTCACGGGTTCTGGGGGTTCAGGACATGAACACATCTTTGTGGGGGCCAGAGGAGGAACAGTTTTGGGCAGTGGCAAGAGGAAGCTGCTCCTGTGGTTTTGGGCAGGACCGACCACAGGTGCTCCCTCCCCAGGCTTCATCGAGGACCCTGAGAGGAAGTACCACTTTGAGTGCAGCAGCGAGGAGCAGTGTCAGGAGTGGATGGAGGCTCTGCGTCGGGCCAGGTGGGGCCAGGCGGTGGTGGGCACCGCTGGGGTGGGCACAGCAGCCATGCAGAGCAGGCAGCTGACCCCGTGCCATCCTCTTCCCCAGCTACGAGTTCATGCGGCGAAGCCTCGTCTTCTACAGGAACGAAATCCGGAAGGTGACAGGCAAGGTGTGTGCAGGGCTGCAGAGGGCTGGGGCGGGGCTGCAGGTGGCTGGGGTGGGGCTGCAGGTGGCAGAGGCAGTCCTCCGGCCCTGGCTAATGGCCACCCGTCCACCCCACAGGACCCCCTGGAGCAGTTCGGCATATCCGAGGAGGCCAGGTTCCAGCTGAGTGGCTTGCAGGCATGAGCGCAGGGCATGGCGGTCGGCGTGCAGCTGGACAGGACTGGCCCTGCCCGGCCGTGAGTCGCTTGGCCATGCCTGGATTTTGTTTGGTTTTTGGTTTTTGGATCAAGGTCTCACTGTGTTGCCCAGGCTAGAGTGCAGTGGTGCCACAGCTCACTGTGACCTTGACCTTCTGGACTCACGTGATCCCCTTGCCTCAGCTTCCCAAGTCGCTGGGGTCACAGGCATGAGCCGTCACACCCAGCCATCACACCTGGATTTTGGTGGGAGGTTTTTGGTTTGGAGACATCCAAAGCCTGAAGCCAGCTGGGTGTGGGCAGGGGCTGCATTTTGTGAAACTGCCCAGCAAGCTGCCCTCTCCGGGGCCCCAGGACCCACCTGACTGGCCTGGCACCTGGTGCCAAGTGCTGCTGCAGGATACACACCCTCCCACGGGTGCCCCGCCTGAGTTGTGTGCATCCGGGGCCTGGCGAGCCCCTGGGCTGGTGGCGTGGCGCCCTGCCCCTGCTGATGAATGTACAGAGCCAAAGCTGTGAATGGCATGGGGGCCGAGCCCCCACCAGCTGTGAATTCTCCTGCAGACAGGAGGGCCCTGGTTGTGCGCCTGGGGAACTGGTTGCCCTGGGGTCAGGGTGCTTGTGTTCAAATAAAGGTACCTCTTTTCCACACTGGGTGGCGGTGAAGTGAAGGAGAAGGGAGGGGCAGCTGGGGAGCCCCCACCCAAGGGAAGTAAAGCTCGGGGTCCTGAGAGGCAGGGGCTGGGCCCCCTGCACTGAGGGGGGAGCTGGAACCCCCAGCCAGGACAGGTGGAGGCTGGGACACAGGCCTGGGGAGAACGGGGCTGCTGTGTGGTACCAGGAATCCTGTGACGACCTGGGGTCCCGCCTCTAGCATTCATGGGTCCTCTCGGTGTGTGGCCGGGGCCTGGGCTGGCTGGCTTTGGTCCATCTGAGGTGAAAAGGACTTTGCTCATGTCACTGGGGTTGCAGATCGGGTTTTTTGTTCGTCGGAAGGCAGTTTGCCTGTGGCCTGGTGCAGTCATAAGCCTCCCCAAGGCCAGGGTGTCCTGTTGTCAGCCCCTGTAGCTTCTGCTAGGAGCACCCCTAGGCCCTCCACTCCCCCTGCTTCAGCGATGACACTAGCCGGGGCCTCTCACCGCCAGGAGATGCCTCATGCCACCCAGAAGAAAGGCTGCCATTCACACCAGGTCCAAGTGAAAACGGTCTGTTTATTACAGCGTCTAGAGGTGGGGATGCAGAATGCAGGGGTGCCCGGAGGGAGGGGCGCCCGCAGCCCGGGGGCGGACCGTGACAATGCGCGCAATCCAAATACAGTTCACCAGAAAGACACGGCAGAGCCTCCCGCATGTTACAAAGGCTGACACAGACCAGCAGCGTGTTGTGTTGGTGGGGGTGGGGGGGGGAGGATGTGACCACCGATGACGAGGGCAGTCAGCTGGCGGGCGGGGGGGTCCCCTGCTGACCACTGAACAGACTGACGCGTCTTGGGGGCAGATAAATTAAGGGAGAAGTCTTAAATAAGTCACCGTGTGTACCTCGTGGGCCAAGGAGGGGGTGTCCTAGTCGTTAGGGTTCCTATCGATTCCTGAGCAAGAGCCACTCCCAGGCGCCGCCCGCCTGCCCACAGTCAGCAGCAGCAGCACAGGTCCCCGCTGGCTGCCCATGGAAACTCAGACCAGGTGCCAGCACCAGGCTCCAAGATCACCAGGCTCCACAGCCATCCCGCCACCTGCCATATACCCCCACTCAGTCTGGGAGTGCCCAAGAGGGACACGGGTCCAGGGCTCAGAACAGGAGAGTGTCCACAGGCAGCACCACACTAGTTCACGTGTGGCGACACGCATGTGACACGCATGTGACCCAGGAGGCTCAAGGAGACTTCTGCCTGGGCCAGTGGCTCCGAGACCCAGTGCGCGCCCTGAACACACGGTCGTCTGTGTGTGGATATGGGCTGCGTGGGCAGGAGCCCTGCGTGGCCCGTCTGCAGGACCCGCGGTGGCACCTGGACTGCCACTGTCCCCTAGAGGGAGGCAGAAGTGATACAGTGTTTAAAGAATGTGTCTTGTTCTAGACCAGGGACTCCATGCCTTCTCTGCCATCAACCCTGCAGCATATCGGGCCCATGGCGACATGGAGCGGGCTGCCCGTCCTGAAGGCCAGGCTCAGGGCTTGGGGCTCAGGCAGAGGCACAGCACCTTCGAGCTGAGAGCACCAACGCGGGGCGGGGAAGGCGCTGGGCGCCACCTAAGGGACAGGTCTGGAGCACCATCTTCAGAACTCAACTATATTGGGGGACGGGTCTGAGAGGTTGTTGGGGGCCGGGGGAGGCAGCACCCCCACCAGGCACAAGCAGGGGTCTTCCAGGCCCTCCCACACAGCACTCGCCCACCTAGCAACCACAGAAACCTTTCCTCCTCAGCTCCCTCTGGAGGCCACGCGGCAGGAAAACGTGGTAGGGACGTGGTGTGTGTCCATCCTGCCCTTGGGAACCGGAACGCAGGGCTGACACCTGGAGGGTGGATCTGTGGCACCCTGGGGAAGGGGCTCCCGGATGCCACCTCACAGGGGCAAGCACTTGAGAAGGTGAGCTCAGGGAGTGCCACACAGCCCGGGGTCAGGTGTGGGCAGCTCAGACTCCAAGATCCCATCCTCCAGGGAGGGCACAGAGCCACCACTCCCCAGACAACCCAGGCTGACTGCAGGGCTCCCGAAGCACCAGAGTGGCCCTGCCTGCCTGCCACACCCCAGCCTCAGCGCCTCTCCTTCCACACCCAGTCCCAGGCACCCCCCAGGCTGCAGAGTGGGGGGCCGACATCACCCCAGGGCCTAAGGCCAGAGAGGCCAGGCTTTAGCAGTGCACCCCGGCCCCAGCACACCCACAGCAGCTGGGAGAGCCACCACAGGCTTCATGGGACGGGTGCCAGGCGTGACCCTGACAGAAGGGGATGTGGGGCAGGCAGGGGCGCCGGCAGCTCTGTCTGGGCTGCTGGGAGCTGCCACTGCGGGGTCTGGGGTGGGGGCCGACCCTGGGGCCACTTTGTGCACTGTTTGAATAAATAAGGTTTTTCCCCTCGCTTTTTTTTCCTCTTCACTGTGCATTATACCATCTAAAAATAAAAGCTGTCAAATCTATGAAATTTATAAATTCTTATCACATCTCTATAAAATACTGCCACTCATTAGTGTGACTCTCTCCTGTACAGAAACACCGACGGACCCACACAGGCCTGCCCCACATCGCAGGGCACGCTGCGAGCCACGGACAGCCGAGAAATACAAAAGTAAATGCACTTGTTAAACGTGCCTGCGCCGTCCTCACAGCACCATCGCACAGCACGGCCAGCTACACCACCGCGCAGACCCGTTCTCGTGCAAGGGCGCGACCCAAGCCCCGGAGGGTGAACAGTCTAAGGGTTCACAGTGCCGGGGTAAAGGTGAAGAGCTCAGGGCAGGCGCCAGGGGCTCAGGAAGGGGCTCAGGCCGCGGCGGGGGCCTCCGAGGAATGTGGTGGCGACGGGCCTGCCTTTGGTACGGGAGCAGTGCGTCGGGGGAGCTGGCCGGGCGGCGTTTCTGAGAACGGGGTTCGGCGTTGTCAGCGTCTAGTCAGCACCAAGCGGGTGGAGGCAGGCGCGGGCCTGGGGACGAGATAGCACCGGGGCAGGCTGTCGGCGAATCCGCTGGCGGGCCCGCCCTGCAGACACGTGTCTTTATATAGATCTCTCATATATAGATATTTATATTTCTCAATAGGTTGCCTTTTACCACTTAGATGGAATAAAATAAGTCAGAATTGTTTATACTTTTTAAAAAATGATAAATACTTTATCTAAAACTATCGACAGTACAAACTGGACCAGTCCCAGCCTCCTGCGGCGTGCGCCGCCGATTCACAGTGGAGCTCCCGTCCGTCCTCGCCTCTGCCATCCAGGGGTGGGAGCCCGGCAGGCCGGTGGGCACCATGCCACGGGCGCGAGTTGGTCCACACCGTCCTTGCATAGGTCTCGCGGTTGAGGTAGAAATCCTAGTTACCTGCAGAAGGGCACAGTGGGAAGAGCGACCACCTGAAGTTACCATCGCGTCTGGGGGAGCCCAACACTCACCCAGGCTGGGGACCGAGGCCTCCCACGAGCACACAGGCCACCTGGGGCCAGCACCATGACAGGCATGGTGCCAGCTCCCTCTAACCACAACAGATGATGGGCGTGCCCCGTGGCAGACCCAGGGAGCCTGACACGTGGACACGCAGGCCAAGCTCAGGCATTCCTCCAAAGGAGACATACAGCCGAGTTCAGCTAAAGCCACCCTACCTGCAGCTCATCTCCTATGAGACCCAGCATAGCTTGTTCAGCCCACAGGTGCCCGCACCGACCCGCCTGGCCGACCAGCCCCGGCCACGGCCTCCGCCTTGGCTCCTGGCTCCCAGTCCTCCTCTCCTTGCCCGGTGGGCTTTGGACTCGCCCAGGAAGGCCTGCGTCCCAGGGCCCCCCGCCGAGGCAGAAGGCCAGGGACGAGCAGAGGGCACCTTCGCACTGCGCTGCCGGGCACACCATGTCCCTGGAGGGCACGGGTGGCCAACTGCCCTTGGGTCAGCGGCCACAGTCTCCACAGACTCTCAGGGGAGGAGTGGACAGGACAGTCCCTCAAGGCCTCACATCATCAAAACCACTCCTGCCTCCAACTTCCTCCTGGTCTCAAAGGTGGACACTATCTACACTAACCTGCCCGATGCGGTGCTGACATCTGAGTGGCTGAAAGCCCCCTGGCTGTGGGCCACAACCACAGAGCAGTGTGGCCGCCATCAGCCATGTCTAGCAAGGGAGCCCCAACACACAGGGCACAGAGCTTGCCTCTCGACCCCGCCAGGAACCCATCAGCCCCCAGGCAGGCGGGGCACCAGCGGCCTCACTGGCTCCCTGTGAGGGGATCCGAGGCCACCGGCCAGACAGCCCCCGACCAGAGGCATCCAGCCAGCCACCCTGGCTCCCCAGGACCTCTACAGCCAGCACTGTGCCTGCTCCACGCTGGGCGCCTGGAGAACAGCACCAAGCCATGCCACCTGTCATGAGTGACCTGCGCCTGGTGCAGATGGAGCCCTGGAGGCCGCTCTAGGAGCTAGAGCCCCCAGCCCCCTGGCCTGGCACCCCGTGAGCCTCACCCACAGGGGCTGGCACAGCTGCCCCCAGGGCTGACCTCAGTCCTGCGGCATCACCACAGGGACCCAGCTGTGGGCAGCTGGAACTCAACACAGGCCACTCCACGCAGTCCCTCTCGCGCGACCATCTCCCTGGTCTCCCTGGCTCTCTCCCTTTTCCCTTCTCAGGACCCCCGGGACTTCTGCCAAGCCCTGTGGCCATCTTCTCTGCCAAAGGAAGGACAGTTCAGTGTCTGGAGTGAGCCACTGCGCGGGGCTCCGGCCTTACCTTACACAATACGCACTGCTAGCTAAGCAAGGTCTTTATCGCGGCTTAACCCCCGAAAGGTGCGCGGCATAGGGAGGTGGCATGCCGAGGGACACCCACACCGCGGACGGCCCCGTGGCGCTGGCCTGCGGGATCCCGGGCGCGGCCTGGGCCAGGGCCAGCCGGGGCAGGGGCTGGTGGTGCACCGTGAAGGAGGGGCGGGCGCCCTTGTGCGGGAGGGAGGTGAGC